TGTCTACCTGTCTAAAGAGGATTATTTGGGATAAAGTTTTCAGTCTATCTGTTTCGAAAGTTACACAGTGTATCCTACCTCAACCCTACTTAATGGAAGATCCAAAAGTGTTTTTTTTAATATGCAACCTACTTTAGATGGGACATCAGCATAGGAATGAGGTAGGCAAAGATGAGAACAGCCTTGTGGATACTTTTTGTAGAAGTCGGTCCCAGTTTTGGTTCAATGTTGAGCGCATGGAAGAGAAGTACAGAAAAATGGAGTTGGATGGGAAATGCAGCGGCATAGAGGTTAGATTTGCTTTGGGTCCCTACATTGGTTAGCAGAGGAAACATCTCGATCACATAGTGTTTTACTTGATTATTTTCAGATCGAAGTCGTTCATGGTGATGTTTACTTTCCATCCGAGATGCCCAAAAGTACGCTTTCCAGGCAGCTGAAGAAGCTCGATGCCCTCAATGATCAATTTGGGTAAGATGTTTTTGAACTCTAGCTAACTGCGCAAATCCCTCTCTCTGAGCATTTTGTTGAGTTTTCAAGAAAATTTGTTTCAAGGCTAAGCACAATATCAGCACCTTACAATGGTGACGAAATTTTTGGAAAGCATTTTAAAAAACGGCAGAAAGAATGCAAGAAACTTGACCAAGTATGATTTTTTATCTCTTGATTGTAAACTGAGGCGTAAAAATTTCCTCTTAAGGCGTTCGATCAGGTGTTCAAGTCTAAGCATCCCTCATGGCGGCCCTACACAATGTCGAAGAGATCTAGAGTGGAAAGGACAGTTGTTAGGGAAACAGTAAAGGTAACGGCAGCTCGTGTCGGTGCTTTTTTGAACAACCATGGTGGGCTTATCTAGGAGTTGACGTTCGAGAACTCAATAGATTACTTGAATTATGTAATGAAAGCAAACCGAATCCCGGTAGACGCATTCAGACAACAAGGTACTTGATTTATCTGCCCTTATTGAAGTAAATATATCAGTTAAGAGAAAGTTGGTTTTATACATCATATGGCACTTCCTTCAACTCACCTGCATGTTGAGCAAGGGGACACCAGACTCGTCCCGAGTAAGTTGCTATATTTTGAACACTCGACTTTTTGATGATATTTTTATTGATTCGATGAAAATGTTTATATATTCTTCTGCCTAATAAAAAATGGTTTAACACTTTGTGGAAGACAAAAAGAATTGTCTTAGGGTGCAAAAGAGCATCTTGTGCAAAATTATTTTAGTCGATTCTGTAAGGCAAATATACAAGTCAAGGAAACTCAGTACTTGGGACGGGTATCTCATGCTCTGTTTGTCTACATAAAAGGCAAAATCTTGCGGGAATCGTAAAACTTCAGCCTACTTTTCTCCTATGGTGATTTTTCCTTTTCCTTTACAGCATCAAGCACAATTCAATCTCGCAGTGCTAGCCCATGTTTCTCGACAGAGCGAAAAGACGGCACGATAGCAGGTTTGTCAAACCATCCGGTGCTCTTGAATTTCACATTAATATTTCTTCAAATATGATTTTATCCGCCACATTTCTGCCGTCGGCTGCTCCATATTTATTTAACGTTCTTAATTGTAATATTAATATTTTAGGTCCTCTGCCGCCAATGTTTCTTAGTGACATATGCGTGAAATCAAGAGAGTGCTCACCCTCTCCCTCTCTGTCAAACGATGAAAGTTCTAATGGCAATGGTCAAGTTGTAAATGTGTCATTGCAGAGCTTGTCTCTTTCGATATCCCCATCAGAGTTTAGCCTGAGGGATGAGGCTGGTCACGATCAT